AAATTGCAATATGCAAATCACAGAAGCTGCAATATTTTGATAAATGTAAAATGTGTTACAAACAGCATTATAATGACCTGCACTACAAATATTTTACCCCTAACAAATGGATAGTTTTTTTCATTGAGAATAAACTTTGTGATGCACAAATAATCGTTCTCACTAATCATAAATCATATCGCAATATCAGTCATAATAATCACGACAGCCGTACTGTATAGCTGCAATTCCAGGAAGTAGCGCTGTTGCCATCACAACAATTAACACAAATTCAACCAATCCTTGTGAATTCAACATGACCTTGAAATTGTGTCCAATCTCTGCAACTTTTCTGTAGATCATAAGAGTTCCCTGCACAAAATGTCAATAAACTATCCATTTTATTTTCACCTTAACAAGTTGCCCTCTGTTTTTGATGAATTATGGAAAAAAAAAAAATTTGTCCTGCAAAAAAAAATCCTAAAAACTTCTTTAGGACTGAGTGCCTATACTGTGGCTCAGAGGAAGACCAGGTAGTCCACCAATCGGAAGGGTAGCAGTTCAAACCCTGTCTCTTTCCACCACAGGTGGAAGTGATCTACCAGTGTGTAGAGAGAAAAACAAAACAAAAACAAAAATACTTAAACTATGACATCACTGAAAGGTAATTTTAAATAATAATATATTAATAATAATATCAGCCTGCTTCGTAGTCACGTTCATGATTGTAGTGCACACATACATCCGTGATTAGTTATGAGCTAAACTATGAAGGTATGATAGGAAGCGTGGGTAAAATGAATGGTTCAGAAACACTGTAATTCTGGCTCCTAACTGGAACTCTTAGGTAGAGAAGTGTGGGCCAGGAGGACCCCTTTTCCACCAGATAAGCTCTGGTTCTTGAACCGGTTCCCTTCAGGATTTAACATCAGTCAACGATAACTAATCTTATTAGGAATAAAGCTGCCTCTGTGTGAACTGTCTGTACCTGAACATGGTCGGCCTTTTAGACTTTAATTGTGACGACTGACTACAAAACAATTGGGAGAAAGAAATTAAATAGGAACTTACAC